GCTGTCCGAGTACCGAGTCACCACCTTATCAGGTGAGTGCATAGTTACTTTCATCTTACACATAAATATGAAGTATTTTATATAAATTACGTGCTATGTGTGCATATTATCTGTATACTTGCTATCTATGATGGATGAACGATTTTATACATGTTTTAAATGATTTAAACTGTATATGTATTTTATATCTACAAAATATGTTGGGTAAAACATGGGTAGATGAATTATGAGTTGGATGATGAGATGAGAGGTGATATAGACCACTAGATAAGGGTGAGAGGTGAACAATGAGGCACACCTTTTACCCAAGCGTTGGACCCGTCATCTAGCAGAGTATGGATGACAACCACAGACTATTCTAAACAGTCCAGTGGAACACTAGCAGGCTCGCAACCTGTAGGTTTTTTGAACGATGTGTTCACCCGGTGTACTCTAAACCCGGGCGACTATGCAGACTTAGTGCCTGAATCTTGGCGATCCTGCAGACTTGGTGCCTAAACCCTGACGATCATGCAGACTTGGTGCCTAAACCCTGGCGATCATGCAGACTTGGTGCCTAAACCCTGGCGACTCTGCAGACTTAGTGCCCATTGTGTAAACTATGGCAACGATGGACTTCGTGCCGATTCCTTAGGATGATCCTTAGGAATGAATGAACGAGGAATAGCTGATTCTTAGGGTAGATCCTTAAGAATAAGGAAGATAATGGGGATGGGTAATTGGGTTAATTGTTTGATGATTAAATATAATATAGTTATATTATTGTGGGTTGAAAACCCTATGTACTCACCAGGTTTTCCAACCTGACCCACTCAAGCTTATTTGCATCACAGGTGTCGATACGAAGCTGCTTTACATTGAGAGATTAAAGAGATGTAGATCACTAGTGTAAATGATTGTAAGTTCTGTTTATGCTTATGTTTCTGTATTGACGATGACATCCCAAATGTTTTAAAATGAATAAAAATACATTTATTCAGAAATGCTTTGATAACGTATTTATCATGTTTTTTTTGGAACAAATTCCGCAACATTTTTATTAAAAGAGGTACTCTGATTTTTATAAAGCATAAACAAAATCTGTCTTTTCTGGCCGTGAAAATGGGGATGTCACAAGTGCAGTACTCACATTCCGGTTTAAGGTGATAGAGCAATACCTCAATTCTTTAATGAATTGTATGTTAAAGGCTCCTTGAACAACCTCATCCAAAATACTCACGGGGGTCATTCGAATTCCAACATCGAAGATTTGTATCAATGGAAAAATGTGGGAGAGATTTTCTAGTCAAAGAAGTAGTAGTGGGTGGGAGAGAGAGAGAGAGAGAGAGAGAGCGAGAGAGAGAGAGTATTACAAAAGAGGCGACAATGATTTAAGTTTCTAGCATGCGGCTTTTGACAAGAACATAAAGCGAAAATGGTTAAAATCATTATAGAAGAGATGACGATGATGGTTGAAATCATTACAAAAGAGACATCGATGGTGGTTGAAATCATTACAGAAGTAGATCCCAATAGCTTCATGCTATGCTTCAACCAAAACAGGGCCAACCCCCAATTTCTTTAATAAAATCAAGCCTTACTACCTTAATTTCTTAAATATAAGGTCCCCGTACCTCTATTTTCTTCAATAGAAGTTGGTCCTATTTCGCCCTAATTGCTTCAACAAAAGCGAGTCTCACTCCCCTGTTTCCTCAATGGAACTTGGTAGCCTTGCCCAAAGATATTTGCTACTTATGACATGTGCTTTCTTCATAGATGAAACCATTTATGATTGTTATGATCAACGGGGAAAAGGAAATCTTGTATAGATACCCATAATTCCAGAGGAAAAAATAGACGACTGGTGATTGTTCTTAGGTATCACTTTTTAATTAAGGTTGGTAGATGTCATACCACACTCACCATATTTTTAAGTGTCACATCATTTTTTACTACACCCCACAAAACTGGTGGGTGTCATACCACACCTTACTACACCCACCACAATACACATTTTTATGCATGAAGTACAACATTTGAAGGAATATTTTTTTTCCTATGCGGCAAATCCATACCACAAACCACCTTTTTGCATTTATTTTTTGCCCCTCAGGGCGGTGTTTACCGCATACCGCAATATATTGTGGTATGCGGTAAGAGACGCACCACATAGTCTAATATTTGTATTTCCTTATATTTAAGTACTTTTTATCTTAAGACACTACCTCGAAATTATTTTTCATCTCAATTTAGGTTTACCTAATTAATAAATAATAACATTAACTAATAGAACAATCTCGAAAATTATAGTACTTCAAAAATATTGATATTTCAAAATAACTTTCTGCATTATCGAAAAACCACTGCAAAATGCTATTAAAAAATACAGTCATTTCGAAAATACCCTTGCCTTTCGAACTAGTTTTCAGATAAAATAGTTATAGATTTTCAAAATGTATAATATTTCGAAAATTATGTTCATTTTAGAAAAGTGAAATAACTTTGGTTAGTGGCTTTTATAATATACAAATAATTGGTCAAAAGGATCTTCTTTATTTATGTATATAAATGTCAAATATTACATTTAGAAGTCAAATGGTGAAAACTTTGTAACTAATGATGTTTATACATATTTGGCGAGTACATTTAAACAAATTTGAATCAAGTCGACTTGTTCCAAATATCCAAAGTTGTTGTTCGTCATATTATCAAGTCTGGACGTTCCAAGAGCTGCCAAAGCATGGGTACTTATGACCAACCACTTCGGTTATGTCGAATCACTCTATCACTCCAGGAATCCAACACCTTCAGTCCTGTCATGCCACCTCGCTTTAGCCAATACAGTTTGGTCCGGTCAAACCGACTCGATCCAGCCAATACTGTTAGGTCATGTCATACCGGTTCAGTTTAACCAATACGGTTCGGTCCGGTCGATCCGGTTTAGTCTAGTCAGGATGTTCTCTCCTCCCCAAGACAAAAGTTACAACTTTGTGTTCCTTCCTAATGCACAATTGTCAGGCTCTTTCCCAAGGTAGAAGGTACTTCCCTCTTATAAGTATAACTCTCTAACACACCTAAAAAGGGGATCCCAAGTAAGCTATATAGACTCTCTCATATAGATCGCACCCACGCACGACTGGTTCTCTTCCACTCGAAGGAACCAACCCCTATTTCGTATCGATTCTAACTAGATCTTTGGAGGCCGTTCCCGTGATGAAAGTCCTGGGGTGGCTCTAACAATCATGTTGTGAGTGTAACAGGTATCAAATCAAGGTTCGCTAACAGCACCAAATTATAGATCCGAGATCATAACCCGATCAACCCCGTGTAGTGGCGTAGTGATGTAAGTACAAGGGTTGGCCTTGGCCCACCCCACACATATTTGAAGTCATACTATATAGTCTTGTTAAGTAAAATGAATCATGCTTTCATATGACCCACCACTTGAAATTACTACTATATACATTGTAGCCGGAAGATTATGTTTATATTTGAGTTTTGCTACTGCGATCATCTATCTTTAGCCAATACTTATTATTTTTATGTTCATATTTAGGTTTTACTGTTGTGCTCCTCTATCTTGAGCCTACACTTACATATATTTCAATTGTTTTGAATACGGAAATGACCTTTTGAGGTTTCCTTTTTATTCATAAACCATCAAAGTTATAAAAACAATCCCTAAACTTTTCTCCCCTATACAAAAATCACCCAATATTTATTTCTTTCAAAATTTTCTTGTTTTGGGAAGTTATATGTTTAACCCTTAAAGTTTCCTCAACTTTTTGTTTTCAAAAATAAAGAAATGATTCCTGCCTAAATGGTGTAAGAAATATAGAATTAATATAAATTTTGTCACCGTAAACTTTTATTGTTTCTATTATATGTTTAAAAATTTCAATATTTTAATTTGTCAGCAACGAAGCATGGAAATTTATACTAGTTTCATACACTTTGCCGATTAAAGACTTGATATTACATAGTTCGCCTTACTTTTTATTTCATTCCATTTTCCATTGAGAATCCATTATTCATCAAGTTAGTTTATTAATTTTTTTGTTCTATTATCTTAATTACTTAATTACTTGTTTTTATTTTCATTATAGACGATTTAGTCGACTTACTTCTTACCAATTTAGGTTTGCACTTATTTTATATTTTTATCATAGGTTTTTAAAAAAATTGGTTATTACTTCTTGCTATGAGTTAATTATTTGTATTATTGTATTATATGCATTATTGTACTACATATAAGTTTAGTTTTTTTATAAGAATATAAAATTATGTTCGTAATTGGAATTTTTTATGATTAGTGACTTTTGTTGAGCAATTGATACAAAACGAAAAAGATTAGATATCGCTAAACTTTTAAGTTTAGACACCATTTTGGATGATTTTAATGATGTAGGAGATCATGGTGTGCAACTTAAATAAACACTTTACTTAAAATGCATATATTGTTATATTTTGTTATCATTTGAAGTATTTTGCTACTAATTTATATTTTGTAGATTATTTGGCTTGCTTTAAAACAAAATTATGGCTATGCCGCTGACCTGTGATAACTTTTCATGTTATACAATAACATTTTACATCAATATTATGATTGGACAAATATATATATATATATATATATATATATATATATATTATATATATATATATATATATATATAATATATATATATATTAAATTCAAAGGTAAGTAGTAAATACATCATAATAATTTACATGTTAAGTGCACGAGAACTTAATCCAATGAAACGTTAAGATCGTTATGACACCAAAGTTTTAAGGATAACATTTTTCATCGAAGTGACATAAATATTCTTTAATAAGGTACATAGTTGTTTACAAAGAAAAATGTTTTCCCAAATTCATAGTATACTTTTTAATAAGTGGTCGTGAATAAAACTTTAATGCGTAACTCGGTCTAAAAAACGATCATTTAAATTTTTTCAGATTTTCAAATAAAAAATGATAAACACATTTTACACAATATTGTAGTACACTTATAGAAAGTTCCTTTAGAATGGAAAACAGTAACACTGTGTTCTAGATTAGGAATTATAAATGGTTACTCTCAATATCTCATGGCTCTATGATCCTTGTGTCCACATCTCTTCCATACACAACACAAATTAAGTTTTTCGTTTGTCGTGATTTGAGCCAATGTCAGCAGATTTAGATCGACATCTCGCTACTAGCTAGTTCAAATGCATAGTGTTCTAGAGTCATATTCATTGATATATACATTATCATTTGATCGAGTAGCTATGAACTAAGACATATATAGTTAGTTTGGATCCAGTCTCAGTCAAGTAACTGATACATTCATCGATTATACAAGATGAGGAGTGAGATCGGCTGGAGGACTCTCGTGGAGGAGGAGGAGGAGGAGAGAGAAGAGGAGAGGCGGAGGAAGGCGGAGGCGGAGGAGGATGGAGTGATAAAGGAGTATGGAGTCAAGGATCTTGGAGATCATGGGAGGTTAGGAAAGCGATGGAGTGCGTGGGACTTGGGGCTCAATAGAGACAAAGTCTCTAATGGCAGAAAAGGCTCTTCTCATGGTCTCGTCATTCACCCTCGAAACAGGTTTCCTTCAACCTTCTCTTTATAGGCTTTTATTTGTCTGTGTACAATGTAAGAGTCAGTATTGAGATCGGGTACCTGTCTCTTTAAGCCTTTATTGTGTACAATATGAGTGGTTCTGGTTCGATTACTAAAGTTTGGAATTGATTGAGATCGGTTCGATTTCGGTTCTTAATATTTTGAAAGTGTTACCCACTAAAACAGATTTAGATATCATATTATATTAATGTTTTCATCCATAATTATCTTAATCAATTTGGAAGATAATATTAAAATTAAAATTCATTAACTATTAATTTTGTTTTTAAGTTGGATCGTTAATGCTTTTTTTGACTTGTGATGATCAAAATGGAACACAAGTTCATAATGCAATCGACTAGTTACTCTTTCAAAGGAGATAATAATATACTACGTTAGTTACCTTCTTCTATTCTCTATTCATTAAAAAACATCCAATATTTCATAAATAATTAAATAGACACATTAAGCATAATCTAATGTATAACCTACATGGATATACATATTATCCATTGTATGTAACCAATGTTCTAAATGATGTGACGAGTGAGTTTGGCGACAATGTCAAAGTTAAACCATCCCGAATCAAGACGTTTTTCAAGGCGTGACTATTTTATATACATTAAAAAAGATAAATCGTATAATTATTGAATTTTATCAAATATATCAAGTTTTTAGAAGTATTATATTAATATTTAATATAAAAAAGCTAGAAAAAACTCAATTATTTAAGCCCCATCAGAAAAAAAAACTCCGAGCCTTGAAAAAACTCACGCCATAATGCGATAAGGCATGCATTGACACGTTATTTGGACGTCACGCTTAACAAACCCATCTTGAACGTTTTCGTAACGACTATACCACACATCGCGTCATGGCAAGCCTTGAGGCACGCCATGACACACTTTTTTGAACCATGTATGTAACTATGTAAGTAAAGTTTTTATTTTGATGCATAATCACTAACATTAATTTGGAAAAAAAAAATATTGCAAAAGTAAATCGATAATATTAGGATAGATATGTTGAAGGATTATTTATTTTTATAAGAACTTTTTTGAAAAGATAATATTAGGCTCCAAATATATTTACAATATATGATAAAATTCTAGATCTTAATAAACCAGACCAACATTTAAATTTTGTTATTAACGATAAACTGTAACAAGAACGTGATATTGTTCATATCGAATCGATCAGTACATTAGTGGTGTATAAAATTTTATTCTTGAAAATTTAAACTAAGTAAATTATATAGGATAGTATCACACAGAGTAAGAAAGATACAACCCGGAGGAAAAATATAGGGGTGACAAATCGTGCTATCGTTTCGTGTTTCCGTCTGACACGACACGACACGATAATGTTTTATGTAACACGAACACGACACGACACGACACGATGTCGTGTTTTTTTAACTAATACGAAAACGAACGAATTAAAAAACGACAAACATGACACGACAAGACAAATATAACATATACTAAAAACTAGTTTATTTAATGAATACTTTATCAAATATAACACGAAAAACACGATAAAGAACTGCTAAATCGTATCAATTTCGTGTCGAATTTCGAACAAGAACACGACACGACACGACATCGTGTTTTTTACAGTTAACACAAACACGACACGACACGACATCATGTTTTTTTACAGTTAACATGAACACGAATTCAAATTTCAATTTCGTTCCAATTTCGTTTCGTGTCGTGTCATAAATTTTCACCCCTATAAAAATACCGAAATATTACTTTTAAAACCTATCATTCAAATTTCACTTAACCCCTTTAACTCATATAAGTGCTTTGATATCATTTTATTAAAAAAAATTACCCTACACAGGATAATGGTGGGATATCTGGATAACACATACCTGGAAAAATTACCCTACACACGATAATTTCTTTAAAAAAAACTACATCGAAAAATTTGAGAGTTAGCATCGGTTCTACCCGTACAACCTATTGGGTTTACAATTTGTTTGCACAACCACGACATTTGTAAAATACCACAATTAATCGGCTCTTCTACTTTTACCACAAATGCAAGATTGAAATCATACTATTATTTACTTAAGTAATCTAACTACTTTTTAAAGTGTATTTAAAGAAATAACTAATTTTTTTAGTAAAAGTAACAATTTTGGTCCGGAATAGATATTACAGACTAAGAAAAAACATTTTTTTGACCGATTCTGGATTCCAGAACAGTATTCCGAATTCCAAACCAACATTAAGGATTCGAGACTAAAATTTTGGATTTCGAAAAAAAGAACTCCGGAATTTCAAGAACAAGTTTGAAATCCGAAGAATAACTCTAGAATTTCGAGAGAAAAAAATCGTTTTTTTACTTAAGTTTAACAAAAAGTTAAACAAACATAGTAACGTGAACTATATATGATATCAGTGCTTAAAATCATATATTTTATTGAAAAATGGTGACATTAAACATTTTGAAATGTAGTATTAAAAAAATAAAAAATAAAAATAAAAAGATTTCTTTGAAAAAAACTCAAGAATATAAATAGTATTTCGGAATAAGGACATTTCGGAGAAAGTGATTATTTATCCAAAACTGAAAAAAGATAATTATTTTTTTTAAAAACCACATTTATTTTGGTTAGTTTACTTAATATGCTTGCTAAATATAATCTTAATGATCATTATTGACAAACAAATGGTTCTAACCTCAAACTCTAAAAATATATTTAATCGGTGAAATACACCAAACATAATATATTATGTAAAAATTATTCAATAATTTAAAGTCACACAAAAATATTTGTCCAATAAGAACAAGGCTTCATCCGACCACTCCATCCACGTGAGATATTCTCACTCCTGATGTTAGAAGCAATGCTGATTCGGCCGGTCGAACGAGTTGAATTATAATTAATGAATAGAACGGGTCATTCATAAATGAGTTTTTGTCTATGTCCAGAAGTAAATATAAATTACATGTAAATTAAAAGTATTTTCAGTTAATTGCTATTTTAATTAAAAAAAAGGTTAAAATGAACATTTAAAAATCTATATTATAACAAATATGTCGTTTACCTTTTTTTGTATTATTTCATGCTTTTCAAATCCCTTTGTATAGTATTGTATAATTGGGTACTATATCTTAAAAACTTCATATTCTTTGTAATAAACTCACTACAAGTGTACATGCTTGATTACGCAATAAACTCACCACCAAATTACGACGAAAATAGAGTAGTCCCAAAGTAGTGTAATCTCAATTGTATGATGCAATTGCAGATGGTATCGAGCTTGGGAGAAATTCATTTTGTTATGGGCAATGTACTCTTCTTTCTTCACACCCATGGAATTTGGGTTCTTCAGAGGATTACCAAATCACCTGTATTTATTAGACATAATCTGTCAAACACTATTCTTCATCGACATTGTCCTTCAATTCTTTATAGCTTTCAGAGACATCGACACCGAGAAGATGATCTTCAACCCAAACCTAATTTCTCTTCGGTCAGTTTTACTCTAATCCCGATTTCATCAAATTCGTCACCAAATTCTAATTTCGTCTTGTTTCAGGTACTTGCAATCTCATTTCATCCTTGATTTACTCGCCTGCATTCCATGGGATATTATTTACAAGGTATCACTCCAAACTCAACATAAATGCTCATAAGATCGATCATAATCCCATATGCATTTTGTTCAAATTCTTCGTATTAACTCAATCAGGCATGTGGAAGAAAAGAAGAAGTGAGATACCTTCTACTGATTAGATTGGTGCGAACACGGAAGGTTCTAGAGTTTTTCTCAAAAATGGAGAAGGACATACGTGTCAAGTATTTGTTTTCAAGGATTCTAAAGCTAATTGTTGTTGAACTCTACTGCACACATACAGCAGCCTGTATATTCTACTATTTAGCTACAACTCTTCCAGCTAATGAAGAAGAATACACATGGATTGGAAGCCTTAAACTCGGTGATTATAGCTACTCAACTTCAGAGACATTGATCTTTGGAAACGCTATATAACATCCTTATATTTTGCAATTATTACCATGGCAACAGTCGGTAAGTTTCATTTTACCCTTTTTTGCATCCTATTGACATCTCATATGAATGTGGAGTACCTTTTTTGTACAGGTTATGGCGACATTCATGCAGTGAACTTGAGAGAGATGATATTTGTTATGGTTTATGTGTTATTTGACATGGTTCTTGGTGCTTATTTGGTTGGGAACATAACAGCTTTAGTTGTGAAAGGATCAACGAGAGAAATATACAGAGAAAGAATAAAAAATCTCCTTAAATACATGGATAGAAACAGATTAGGAAGAGACATACGTGATGACATCAAATATCACTTACAGTTACCATATGATCGAACCCATACTGATTCTGCTGATTTTAAAGACCTTCCAACCTCAATTCGTTCCATGGTATGTAAAAAAAAGTATTCTTAATTTCTTATTTCACTTCCTTCAATGTCAATTTTACAGATTTTTAGTGTTTTTGACTTTCTTCTACACATTTCTTGAAGATAACAGAGACACTTTATAAGCCACACATTGAAAAAGTTCCTCTTTTTAAAGGATGCTCTTTGGAATTCATCAATCAGATTGTGAGTAGAGTTCATGAAGAGTTTTTTCCACCTGGGAAAATAATAATGGAACAAGGGAGTGTTGTTGACCAAATTTATTTCATTTGTCATGGAAAACTGGTATTAAGTATTAACTTCCTTCTGTATATTCATTCAATTCAACAACATATTATAAAGATTGATGAATAAAAATTTGATATAGGAAGAAGTGGTTGTATATGAAGGTGGGCCCGAAGAAGAAATATCAATTCTAAATCCTCATGACTCATTTGGTGATGTTTCAATTCTATGCAACATTCCTTTGCCATATACAATTCGAGTTCATGAAAGTTGTTTACTTTTGAAACTTGATCATCAATCTTTCTCCAATATTCTCAAGATATATTTTCATGACAAACAAAAGATTCTCAACAATCTACTAGAGGTTATAACTTATAACTTATAACTTATAACTTATAACTAATTACATTTACTACTTTCTTTAAACAAATTTTTAGATAACTTAGAGATATATTTAAAATCTCATAGGGTAAAGAAAGTGATGTACACATGAAGGATATGGTGAGAGATATCAAAACTCATATTGGATTCCAAGATGCTCAACTTTCACTTCGAGTAAATATTTCAGTTTATAATGGAGATTTATTTGAGCTTAAAAGCTTAATCCGAGCTGGAGCTGATCCAAATAAAAAACTCTTTGATGGAAGATCACCTTTGGTATGCTTGTTGACTTTTTGACTTTTAACAAATTTAAAAACTCATTAATGGAATAAAACATAAAACATGATACAGCATCTTGCTGTATCGAAAGGACATGAAGATATTGTTGTTTTTCTTATTCAAGAAGGTGTTGATGTTGACATTTCAGGTAATTAAACTTGTTTAACTTTTGAGCTTTGATTCTCAGATTCTGTTGCGATTTGAATTTTGAACTAATATAAATTATTTGGTAGATAATTTTGGAAATACGCCATTGTTAGAAGCGGTTAAGAGGGGGTATGATAACATTGCATCCTTACTAATTAAAGAAAGTAACTCATTGATGATAAACTCAAAAGACTATGACTTAAGGACCCCACTTCATGTAGCCACATCACAAGGATCTTATGTTGTAGCAAAATTGCTAGTTGAATCTGGTGCTAGTGTTCTTTCGAAAGACAGGTATTATAATTTAAATATAATAAGTTTGTGATTAAATCAGTTAATTAAATGTGATGAATTCTAATTTATAACATTTATGGAGTGAATGTGAAGATGGGGTAACACTCCACTTGATGAAGCAAGATTATCTGGAAATATGATATTGATGAAATTATTAGAAGAAGCAAAATCTTTTCAGATGTTAGAATTTCCTTCATGTTCTCAAGAACCAAGAGATAAAATGTCACGAAAGAAGTGTACAGTATATGAGTTTCATCCATGGGAATTAAAAGATGAAAGAAAATATGGAGTTGTGTTGTGGGTCCCGGACACCATTGATGAACTCATGAAAACAGCAGCTAAGCATTTGAAGTTGGAGCTTTCTACTGGTTTTTGTATTGTAACGGAAGATGTAGGTAAGATTGTTGATGTGAATATGATTACAGATGGACAGAAGCTATATTTAATAACTATGGAAGCATGAGTTAGAGAATTTGATTAAATTGTTTAATGTTGGGTTTTCAATTCAGGAAATAAAAGAAAAGATTTCTTTTTAATCCATAAATTATGATTTTTTTTTTAATCCATGTTGAATGTTTATAGAGTGCTATTTCAAGTCATAATCTTGAAGAAATAATGTTTGAATTTATTTTTTTTATATATGAAATTACGCACCTCAAACGGCTAAAGTCCCATCCTAGAGCTTATGCTTATCTATCAAATAATGTAACACAAAAAAAAAAAAAAAAACAAAAAAAAAGAATTGCAAAAACGAATCTAAAGTTTTAAATCTTAATGAATCAGATCAACATTTAGTACGTCATTTGTAAAGTAAGGAAAATTAACAAGTCTTCTGTCCTTATTTTACCTCAAATGCAAGATTTTCAAATTATATTTTTATTTTTAACTATATTAAATATAATTTTAATGGCCATTATTGATAATTAAATGGTTTAACATCAAACTTTAGAAAAATGGGGTAAATGATTGCTTAAAATCCACTGAAAGTCATAAAACACTATCGAATTGAAGTATTTCGATGGTACAATCAAAAGTTCAATTGGATAAAATTTACTGGTTTCGAACAGAGAGAATGGTGAAGTTATGATCTTTAGAATGTACTAGAATTAAGACAAAAAAACGGGTATAATACCCCGCTATCAGGGCTAGGGCCAGTCCGTTAATTTTGTAGGCTCGGTGTGAAAAGTATAAAATATGGGCCCCTAATACACAATTTTTTATAGTATAAACAAAATTTATTAATAGATAATTGTTATACCAAGAATCAAAACAAAATAGTGATAGTACTCACAAGGCCCTTCTAGTATTCTGAATCAAAGTTGTCTATAAGAAACTTTAGAGAAAAAAATTGTCTATGCGGATTGAAAAAAGTGTTTTGGATAAGAGACAAACATTGAAAACGGCAAGTGGCGGATCCATAATTTTTTATCAGTGTCATGACAAATATATATAGAGTGCTATTTCAATTATGATTTTTTTAATCCATGCTGAATGTTTATAGAGTGCTATTTCAAGTCATAATCTTTTTTTTTTAAAAAAAAATTTTAAATGTCAAAAAATTGTTGTTTTTTTTTTTTTTTTTTTTTCATATAATGGTTTTATTGAACAATAAGCTTAAAGTATATAGACTTTCTAAAAATAAACTCTTATAAATATATTTAAATAAGTAAAAAAATCAATTGGATGTTTATTTCCTTTCTTTTCAATCTTCCAACATTTGGAATGAAATATCTGGAGAACAAATTATATAATGTTTTTCAACAAATTATAAAAAAATAAATAGTTGATGTCTTGTGCTGTCCAAAAAAAAAAAGTAGTTGATGTCTTGTCCTCTCTTTTCCAAAAAGAAACAGAAATTTTAATTGAATGTTTATTTCTTTTCTTTTCGAACACTTGGAGGGAAATATTTGGTGAACTAATTACAAAAAATTAGTTGTAATACATACTCTTTAAAATGAAATTATCTACAAAATACACGAGTTTTTAAGGATGTTTACGTGTGTTTAATTTTCTTTAATTTTTATAACAACAACAAAACTAACCTTAAAAAGATAAATATGATTTTTGCCACTTTCTAGGAGACTAGGACCATCTTTAGAGTCAGCCGCACTCTCTATTCTTTCAAGGTGCTCCCAACTAATTGCAATTTGCCTTTCAAAAAAAAAAAAAAAAAAAAATTGCATATGTAACAAATTAACAATAAGATAAAGGCGCATACAAGTGTTCCAATAATAGTTAAGAGAATAACGATGCTTTAATCAAAGGTAGATAGACCATGGGTGCAACCAATTTAAGCCACCAACCCTTATATTTCTACAAAGGGTTCAACCACTTTGGTGGCTACACCTATATATACCTTCACACCATTTTTACCTAATTCACTAAACCCATAAAATACCATGACCACTTCACCATCACCACATTTTACCTTTGGGAACCCGACCTACAAATACGAAGATGAAGAGCCACTCGCCCTAACAATCAGATTAGGACAGTGTCAGGACATAGATCGTTGGCACAGTAGAAGGGAGTTTCTCAAGAGCTATCAGTTTTCGTATGCACGCTTGAGTCTGAAGGAAAAGATGAAGAAGGGTGCTCGAAAGATCGGTATCAGGGTTTACAAGTTGACATTAGAATGGCCAAGTGTGTTTATATTAAGATGTTATGTGCCAATTCCATGCATAGATGAAGTACATGACACACGTCAAGATCAGATGCATGATGATCATGATGTGTTTCTTGAGCATGTATCACAAGGACTTATGCATCGCAAGAGTTTGAGGGTTTCTTAGTAAAGTGCTAGGGACACATATATCAATGTGCAAAGAATTTCTAACTCTTAAAAGAAAATTGAAATTTATGTTTTTTTGTTTTGTTTCTATATTGATTGTGAATTTAAATTATTATAGTATGTTATTAGTTACATATTTTATTGAACCTATATATTTTGATCAAAGACAAATTAATCATGTCCGGAGCATAGCATATTAAAGCTAATCAGAAGAAAAGATACTATATTGCATAAATCACATAAACACTTTATTGAAGTAAAATAACTCAATTAACTCCGATCTCTAAAAATAATTAGGAACCTAACATCTATATATACTCAATAGAAAAACACATCAGAATATAACTAAGCTCGTCCATGCGCCTAGAAAATTGACTAAGTTTGACCTTTATCCTAAAATCCGGTTTATGACAGTTTTGGTGGTTTTTGTGACAGTTTGCAACTGTCTTGTGACTGTTTTCAGACATAAATCATATATCCGTTTTGGTTCATTTTCTAAGTACATCTTCAAGAACGTTTACACCAACATTCTCTCATTCTGAAAAACTCTGAATTTTATCCAATTGAGTGTTTGATTTGTACCATCGAAATACTTTAATTTGATAGTGTTTTACGACTTTCAGAGAATCTAAGGTTGCGTTTAGTTACGGAAAAACAGTTTTATTTTCCGTTTTTTGTTTTCCCTTTCCAGTTTTCGTTTTCCATTTTCAGTTTTCATTGGAATTTACAAAACGCGTTTAGTTAAAACTTATTCATTTTTTCATTTTCAGTTTTAGAAAATTAAAAAATGTGTTTAGATGTGTATTTTTCTATCGGTTTTCATTTTTAGAAAACGGTAGCGGTGGTAGGGTGGGGGTGGGGGCAGCGGCGGGTGCAATGGGGTGACGGCAGTGGTGTCGACGATGACAACAGTGGTGGTGGTTGTGGCGGTGGCAGCGGGGTGGCGACGGTGGTGGTGATGACATGCGATAGTGGTGGCGGTGGCAATTATGGCAGTGGTGGTGATGGCGACAACATTGTTGTTGGTGGTGGTGATGGTGATGGTAGGTCGGTGATTGTGGTAGTGGCGTTGAGTTTGTGTGTGTGTGTTTGTGGGGGCGGGGGTCGGGGTGGGCTTGGGAGCGGGGTGTGTGTGGGTAAGTAGGGATGTTAAGGTAGGGGTAGGTAGAGGTGGGCGGGGTGGGAGTGGGTGTGTTAATATTTTAGAAAAAAATTGAAATTAAAAAAATGTGGAAAATAATGATTATCGGTTTTCCAAAAATTTCCAACTTATTTGTAATTTTAAAAAACAAAAATTTTTTATTTTCCGTGATAAATTTAGAAAAATAGATGAACTAAACGCGTTTTTAAAATTCTCATTTTTCTTAGAAATTTTTTCTAAAAAACGGCTCATTTTTTCTCAACTAAACGCACCTTAAGCAATTCTTTTCATCATCCTCAAAGAGGTGTTTCTCCCAAGAAGGTTGCAAAATAACCATATCAAAAATTGAAGGTCCAAGACCACCTAAAAACTTCACGAATCCTTGTTTCTCTTCCTGGATTGCATCACACCTCATGCATAAAATATCTGACCAATGGAAATTATGATAAACTAGGGAAGACTTAATGAGAAAAATTAGTGGGCATAAATTCGGATATATTTTTGCATCTTTTCCAAAGTTGCGATCGTGGATTTTCTTCCATACGTTATTACTTTTTCAAGTGATCCTACCAAAGTAAAGCGTATCCTTCGAGCTTAATGTCATCGAACTTGACCTTGAGGTGATTGGGAACATCATATATCTAAAAAAACACACTTAACGGTGCTAATCCATTCATTGAAGTTGCCAAGAATTATCACGATAGTACCATGACGCCTCTCATCCTATTTATAAAAATCTAACTTGATAGAAACCTAATGAATAAAGGAAGCAAATTAAAACAAAGGAAATGGTAATATCTTAGCCTAAACAACAAGTACGTGGAATTGGGAAAAAAAGGAAAAAAAAATTGACTTGAGAGTTGAGACTGAAATTGCAAAGGCACATTTAAAGCCACTGGGCCTCTAACTTTGCAATTCCCATGGTGGTCTGTTTACTGGGAGCCCATCACCCATTTTGAGTCACGAAGGAAGGAATACCAGAATCTAGATGCCCACCCATTTCTACCTATAAATATCCATGTTTAATAATTTTTTAAATATAAATTAATAAACTACAGAATGTTCATTTCCTTTTTTACGGACTTTCTGGTTCCACTACTAATTAAAACCAATAATATGGACATGAAAATATAGTTTATTCCAACACCACCTTTTTATGCATGCTATTCTTATCATCTTCTTGATAGAAGGAAAATTGTTTTGTAATAACTCCCACCTTTCATCCAAGACTTTGTCATTAATTATTGAAAACGAAAATCATGTATTGATGAATGTACTATAAGAAAAAAAAAAAAACAGCAAATAGGTTATTCAAGTTTTAAGGCTAGTTATTGTGCCGGTTGACAATGCAATCACTAACATTTACGCCATTAATTAATAACCAGGGAAAACAACTAAAGCTTTTCTTGAGTCAATATGTCCATAAGATATTGCCTGGCATGTACTTTTTAATCTTTATGTTTAGTTTAGGTCTTTGGGTTTTAATGGTTTTAACAAATTTAGTTGTTATTTATTTATAACTTACAATTTGATGGGTATCATTTGACTAATATAACCATTAGTTTGTTAAACGCGACTAATTTTCATGATTAATATAACAACTTGATGTTATTTAGGGTTTAAGATGCTATATATATAAGGAATATTTTTAGGTTATGCATTAAAAAAATGGGGTTATTTTTATGCATTCTCCAAATTCCCTTTCCTATCCCATATCTTTCTCTCTCTCTCTCTCTCTCTCTTAATGCTTTTTGTTATTAATTTGTTTTTAATATTTTTAGTAAATACATAATATTATTTTTTCTGGTTTGGACTATCATTATGTTTTTTATTTATTTATTTTTGTTATTTTTAATAAATATATTATTATTATTATTATTATTAAAAAAATATATTTTTTCGTTCAGATTGTTTTTGTGTTATTTTTATTTTCATTTAGACTATCAGTGTGTTACTCTTTTCGTTCTGACTATCTCTGTGTTGTTTTTCCGTTTCGACTTTTTTTTTTATGTTTTTGTTTTTATTTTATGTTTTTAATATTTTTAATAACTACATAATATTATTTTTTGATTTAGACTATCATTGTGTTTTTTTTTATTTATTTTTGTTTTCATTATTTTTAATAAATATGTTAGTAGTATTGTTATATTATTATTATTATTATTATTATTATTATTATTTATTACATTAAAAATATATTTTTTCGTTCGGATTATTTTTGTATTATTTTTTATTTTTCATTTAGACTATCAGTGTGTTACTTTTTTTCGTTCTGACTATCCTTGTGTTGTTTTTCCATTTCGACTATCTATGTGTTATTTTTTCGTTCGGAATATTCATATATTATTTTTTTCATTCAGGTTATTAAAGAGACATCTAATCAAATTAGTTTTTTAAAATAAATAATAATAATAATAATAATAATAATAATAATAATAATAATAATAAAAGATAACAAAAAGACAAAATACAAAAAAGACAAAAAAAAACAAAAAAAAATGTCTAATAAAAAAAGGTTTTAAAGACAACAAAATGACTAAAAATGAGGACGTATGAAAGAATTTTATGAATTATGAGATACATACAACAACATCCTAAAAAATATACCAAAAGACTTAGGTGCTGTTTATTTTTCCGAAGCGAAAATTCAAAAAGTCTACGGACCACCTCTACAAACCTCTGCAGCAGAAGAGGTGGACCAAACGGCTGCAGACTGTAATAAGAAGCGCGTTTGTTTTTGTTAACATCTGCAGACTGCTGCAGACATTAAAAATTTAAAATAAACTAATTTAAAAAACAACATTAAAATGAATCAACTTATGTAAATCAAATAGGAGAAAACAGTTAAAAGGATATAAATTTAATGTATTAAATGTTAAAGGGATGAAAATAGAATATAATATATAAGTAAAGGACCATAAACATAATATTAAATATACTTCATGAACCATAAACGTAATATTTTAAAAACAACATACATACGTTGTTGTTAGATTTTTTGAAAAAAAAAGGCCGATTGTTTTTTGGTTGGATTTTTTTAAGTTTAGGTTTGAAGGGGTGGGAAGAGGTGGGAAGAGGTACAACAAGTGCTTCCCCACACGGGCAGAGGTTTTAAGCCCGTAAGACTTCCGAAAAACAAACTGATGCGGGACAAAAAATGTTGCAGGTGTGCTGCGCCGCGCAGCGCAGTAATAAGAGTTTTGAAGAGGTTTTTTAAAAAAAACAAACAACACCTTATAGTCCAACCATATATGATGTTGACATGATGTCCACTATAGAAAATCTAGGAAAAATGACTTGCGAGGGTAATTACCTTTTTGTCTTGTTTACGTTTAGGTAACTTCATTTTTTTGTACACATTTGATCATTTAACTTGTTAAATGTGTTCATATATTATCATTGTCACCTGCTATAGCAGGTCACAATGGTAATATATGAACACATTTAACAAATTAAATGGTTAAATGTGTATAAAAATAGAAATTATCTAAATATGAACAATTATTTTTTTACAAATTTCTTAAAACTTTTATAATTTCTTACAACACTTTTATGATATTTTTTTTCCAATAGGTTTTTCTAATACAATGTTTTAAACTTTTCTTATAATTTTTTTGAATATTATTTTATACTTTTATATAATTTTAATACATGTGATTTTATACCATATGTTTTATAAACGTTTTAAATTTTTCTTACAAGTTTTTAATTTGTTTTTTTTTTTACATTTTCATATAACTTTTTTTTTATAATTTTCATACATTTCTTTCTAAACTTTCTTTTACAACATTTTTTAAAGTGTTTCATAGATTTTATATAACAATTTAATATTTTTTTTATAACATTTTAAAATACTTTCG